GGCATGCTCACAGCCACCACAGCCTCGACCTATTGGGCTCAAGCAATCCTGCCTCAGCTTTCCAAGTAGCTGGTACTACAGGCACGCACTACCACGCATGGCTAATTTTTGATTTATTGTGGAGATGAGGTCTTGCCAAGTTACCTAGGCTGATCTCGAACCCCTGGGTTCATGCAATCCTCTCGCCTCAGCCTCCCAAAGTGCTGGGATTATAGGCTTGGGCCACTGTGCTTGGCACTGCCCAACTTTTAACCTTTCTAAGTCTCTCCATATGAACTTGTTCCTACTTCGCTCTAGTAACCATTCCTAGGCTTTTCAAAATCTTTTTCCAAAGGACAGTTATCTTTCATTGGTTAAGTTTATAGGCTCCAAAGCAATTCCTTTTTTTTTTTTTTTTTTTGAGTTGGAGATTCACTCTGTCACCCAGGCTGGAGTGCAGTGACACGCTCATGGCCACTGCAGCCTCGACCTACTGGGCTCAAATGATCCCTCCTCCTCAGCCTTCCAAATAGCTGGAACTACAGGCCTGTGCCACCACACCCAGTTATCTTTAAAATTTATTGTAGAGACAAGGTCTTGCCAAGTTGCCCAGGCTGGTCTCGAACCCCTGGGCTCAGGTGATCCTCTGGCCTCTACCTCCCAAAGTAGCTGGGATTACAGGCGTGAGCCACCACACCTGACCCTGAAGCAATTCTTAAATTCCTATTCTGGCTCTGCCACTCGACCTACAACCTTGGGTTAGTGACCTGAATTTAATTCTTCCTGGAGTAAATTCTCAGTCTGCCACATGGGGATAATAAAAGAATCTACCTCACAAGGTAGCTGTGAAGATTAAAATAAGGTAAATTATAGAAAACACAGAGAAGTACTCAACCACATCAGCTTTAAAAAAAGTTTTTTTCAGCCGGGCTCGGTGGCTCAGCCTATAATCCTGCGCCTTTGGGAGGCTGAGGTGAGTGGATTGCCTGAGCCCGTGGGTTCGAGACCCGTCTGGGCAGCTA